CTTTAACACCCCCCATGACACGATTGACTTTGCCAAACCAGTGTCCACCTCCATCGGACAGGAGGCGCCTTCAATGAGCACTGTCATTGAAAGTTTGTTGTTACTGGGTAGTCTGGAAAGGGAAGTCACCTCAGTGATGCGGCAGTCGCGTGAAATAGAGAAACATTCCTCTTTTTTAGGATGGCGGGACTTCAGCAAAACAGCAGGTTTGTGCAGAGATCGGCATGCTCGAGCAATGCGGCCCAGTTTCCCACAACGGCGGCAAGTTGCAGACCTAAACCGACAGGTCGCCCGTGGATGCTGTTCACTGCAGCTGAAGCATAGAGAGGGCTGAGGTTTAATTGGCCAACGTTTGCCCTTCGGTCTAGGCTTAGAAGCTTGTAGACGACTAATATCGGCTTCCTCATCTGTAGACGCGTCAGAGGCAATGTCTTGCAGGTTAACAGTAGTAGATGGCAACCCCCTGGAGGGGTAGAACTTTCTAATGTTGGCAGTAGATTTGTCTGACATTTCAGCCACCTGTGCCTCCTCGATCACAGTTGGTAGATCTAAATTCTTTTTGGCCAGTAAACGTCTTTGCAGACGGATGTCTTTAACGCCACACACCAGTTGTTCCACCAGCACTTCATCAAGGTCGCGGTATTCACAATCGAGGGCAGCTGTCTGCAAACGAGCCACGTAATGATTGATAGACTCCCCCTCCTCCTGTAACACCTGCCGCAGTTGAAACCGACGGGCAATTCGGGAAGGTGCGGGGGAGTAGTGGTCTTTTAACTTAAGGCGCAGTACGTCCCAGGCAACTGTGTGCACCGGGGTAGGGGCAAACAAAGCCCAAGTGGTCGCAAAAACCTCAGGGCCACAAGAATTCAAGAAATGAGCTCTCTTTTTACCTCCGGAAAGGTCAGTGAAGTCGTTTGCCTCTAAGAAACATTTGAAGCGTTCCATATAAGCTTCCCAGACCTCAGTGGATGGGTCAAAAGGGGCAAACGTCGGCGGAGCCATTGGAATTCTTCCTCTTCCTCGTCGCCAGTGTTAAATTGTTTCTTACAGGCATGAATTAGGACGAGGTTGTGCTTTAACAGAAACCTTTATTTAAACAGCAAACAGGCATTAAGAAAACACGAACACGGCTGAGGAGAACTGACAGCCTATTTATACTCCTTAGCTTGTCAAAGGATAACCAATCAGCAAACACAGATACTCCCGCTTTAGGGAGGCCACGCCTCTTGACCAATCACAGGGTGGCATCCCCGGTTGCCGGGGCTGCCGAACACAACATATAGATATATAACTATATATACATATATAACATATATAACTATAGAATCTTGTTGAATGCAATATGGGACTCGAGTACTTTGAATGGAATAGTTATAAGGCAAGAGGATTACAGAACAAGGGCATTTGCAGACGATCTGGTTGTTACCCTAGCACGGCCAATGGAATCAATAATTCAGATGAAAGACATTATAGAACAGTGGTTCTCAACCTTCCTAATGCTGCGACCCTTTAATACAGTTCCTCATGTTGTGGTGACCCCCAACCATAAAATTATTCCTAAGACCATTGAAAATATGTGTTTTACGATGGTCTTAGGCGAACCCTGTGAAAGGGTCGTTCGACCCCCAAAGGGGTCCCGACCCACAGGTTGAGAACCACTGTTATAGAAGAATATGGTATGGTATCAGGATTTAGACTGAATCAGAAAAAAACCAAGATGATAGTTAAAAATATGACAGAAGATCAAAAGAAGGAACTTGAAAGGAAGGCAGGCTTTGAAATAGTACCAAAGATGAGATATCTAGGAGTTCAAGTTGCAGATTCAAATATAAAACTGTTCCAAAACAATTATGAGGTGTTGTGGCAAAAGATACAAAAGGACATGGAAACCTGGAAAAAACTGCAGCTGTCTTTACTTGGAAGAATAGCAGCAGTTAAAATAAATGTTCTACCTAGATTTTTATTTTTGTTTCAAATGATTCCGGTGCTTAAAAGTGATAAACAGCTGATGGAATGGCAAAAAGGAGTGAATAAGTTTGTTTAGCATGAGAAAAAGCCAAGAGTTAAATTGAAAATTATGCAAGATGTTCGTGAAAGGGGTGGTCTTAAACTTCCAAACGTACGACTGTACTATGAAGCAGCAGCGTTGACACAAGCAAGTGATTGGTTTGGAAGGACAAAGACTGGAATATTGAATATAGAGAGTTATGATCTTGAATTTGGTTGGCAAGCATATTTATTTTATGAAAATAAAGTGGATAAAGTATTCAACAGCCATATGCTTAGAAACTCCTTGATGAGAGTATGGAAGAAGCACCGGTTCAAATGGGATTACAAAATTCCATTGTGGTTGGATCTTGGTCATATTATACAGAATATAAATATAAAGTCACTCGGGGGGGGGTTTATACAAAGAAGTACTTTTTAATTATGGGGGCAGATGGCAACTAAAGACATTGAAGACACTGTTGGAAGAAGGGATTAATTTAACTTGGTTACAGTATAATCAACTTCAACTGAGATGGAGAGAAGATCAAAAAACTGGTTTAATGTTGCATGAAGAAGACCTGGTTAGACAGATAAAAGAGAAAGGAATAATAATAATAATAATAATAATAATAATAATAATAATAATAATAATAATAATAATAATTTTATTTCTATACCGCCCTTCTCCCAAAGGACTCAGGGCGGTGTACAGCCAATTTAAAAACACAGGACACAACAATAATTAGAAATTAAAATAATTAAATAGATTTGGCCGATTTAAAACCCCAAAAATTTAAAATACCCCAATTTAAAATTATTATGTTGATAGCCCTGCCTGGCGGAACAACAGGGTCTTCAGTGCGCAGCGAAACACCCGGAGGTCGGAGATTTTATGTATTTCCGGGGGCAGTTCATTCCACAGGGCTGGGGCTCCCACAGAGAAGGCCCTCCCCCTGGGTGTCGCCAGCCGACATAACTTGGCTGATGGCACCCTGAGGAAACCCTCTCTGTGGGAACGGACTGGTCGGTGGGAGGCTATTGGTGGCAGAAGACGGTCTCAAAGGTACCCGGGTCCTATGCCATGGAGCGCTTTGAAGGTGGTAACCAACACCTTGAATCGCACCCGGAAGACCACTGGGAGCCAGTGCAGCTTGCGCAGGAGGGGTGTCACGCGGGCACAACGAGTTGCGCCCATAACCACCCGCGCAGATGCAGATCAAGAGGGTTTATAATGTTTTGTTAGAAAGAGATTCAGAAAATGAATTGGTTAAAGATTGTATGATAAAATGGGCGCAAAATTTTGCAGAACCAGTTATGATGGAAACGTGGGAAAAAATATGGGTTCAGAATGTTAAATTTACGCAGTCACAGAATTTGAGGGAAAATTTTTATAAAATGTTTTATAGGTTGCATTTAGATCCTAAGAAATTGTCATGCATGTATCCTAATGTTCAACCAAAATGTTGGAGATGTGATTGTTTGGATGCTACATATTATCATATATGGTGGACTTGCAAGAAAGTGAAGGCTTTCTGGATAAAAATTTGGTGGGTTATGCAAAATGTTTTGAAGAAAAAACTCCAATTCTCTCCTCAATTGTTTTTATTGGGCATAGTTAAGGGCTTTTCAATGGGTGAAACAAAATTAATATTGTATATGGTGACAGCAGCTAGGTTACTGATTGGTCAATATTGGAAAAGGGATGTTTTGCCTACTATTGAAGAATGGACTTTGAAGGTGGCCAGTTTTGCAGAAATGGCGAAGATATCAGCATACTTAAAAGACCGGACTCAAGAGACTTATGTATGGGAGTGGAAGAAATGGATAGATTATGTGCAGAATAAATACCAAACTAGGAAGTACCAGATAGTTTTTAGTTGAATGTTGTGTAGAAATGTATAGTATATAGGGGGTAGAATAGTTCAATATCAAGTAGAAATGTATAGTATACAGGGGGGAGAATAGAAGTATGATAACATATGATTTGGATTTGGATTTCACCTTGGGGAAGTCATGGGAGGAGGGGAGGGTTAGGGAGGGTTAGGGAGGGAAAGTGGGGGGTGGGAATGGGAAAATTTGTATTTGTAAAACTTTTCCAATAAAAAGAAAAAAAGAAAACTAAGATAATGGTATCCAGCCCTCTCTATTCCTGGCAAATAGACGGGGAAGAAAGTCACTGCAGCCAAGAAATTAAAAGACGCTTGCTTCTGGGGAGGAAAGCTATGGCAAATTTAGACAACATACTAAAAAGCAGAGACATCACCCTGCCAACAAAAGTGCACATAGTCAAGGCTATGGTTTTCCCAGTTGCAATGTATGACTGTGAAAGGTGGACCATAATTAAGGCTGAGCACCAAAGAATTGAGGCCTTTGAACTATGGTGCTGGACAAGACTCCTGAGTCTTGGACTGCAAGGCAATCAAACCAGAGGAGATAAACCCTGACTACTCTTTAGAAGGCCAGATCCTGAAGATGAAACTCAAATATTTTGGCCACCTAATGAGAAGGAAGGACTCACTGGAGAAGAGCCTAATGCTGGGAAAGAAGAATGGGATGACAGAGAATGAGGTGGCTGGATGGAGTCACTGAAGCAGTAGGCGTGAGCTTAAATGGACTCTAGAGGATGGTGGAAAACAGGAAGGCCTGGAGGAAAATTGTCCATGGGATCGCAATGGGTCAGACACAGCTTCACAACTAACAACAAAAGTTAGGCCTTCTATGGTCTTCTCAGATATACAGTGATACCAATTCAGGGATTTGGAAAACAGCCCATTTAAGAACAATTCAAACCACAATGCTATCTTGGTATATGTCATTAATTGGTTCTAGGAAGTGCAACAAGTACTAAACAGAAGTGTTGTGTTCAGTGGCTCCTGGCAACAAGGGACGCCGCCCAGGGATTGGCCAAGAGGCGTGGCCTCATAAACCGCGGGAGTTCTATGCTTTCTGATTGGGTGTTTCTGACAGCTAGTGGGTTTTTAAGTGCTGTCATGTTGCCTCAGTTCAGTTCAGTTCTGTAGTATAAGCTTGTTGGTTCGTGAATAAAGAGTTCTGTTGATACTAATCTCGTTCCCAATTCATGCCTGCGCTAAGAATATAATACTGGCGACAAAGGTGTTGAGGACTACAAATGGCACTGCCTCAATTTGCCCCTTTTGATGCTTCCTCAGAAGTTTGGGACACTTATATGGAGAGGTTCGAATGCTTCTTAGAAGCAAACGATTTCACTGATCTTTCCGGCAGTAAGAAAAGGGCGCATTTCCTGAACTCTTGCAGGCCTGAGGTTTTTGCGACTGCTCGGGCATTGTTCACACCTACCCCTGTGCATACCATATCCTGGGACATCCTACAGCTTAAATTGAAGGACCATTACTCCCCCGCCCCGTCCCGAATTGCCCGGCGGTTTAAACTGCATCAGATTCTACAGGATGAGGGGGAGTCCATTAATCATTATGTGGCTTGCCTGCAAACAGCTGCCCTTGATTGTGAATACCGCAACCTGGACGACGCCCTTGTGGAACAGCTGGTATGTGGCGTTAAGGACATACGGTTGCAGAGACTCCTACTGGCCAAACGGAATCTAGATCTTCCAACTGCGATCGAGGAAGCACAGGCGGCTGAAATGTCTGATAGATCCACTGCTGACATTCAGAAATTCTACCCTCCCAGGGGTGTGACATCATCCATGGTGCACCTGCAAGACGTTGTCTCTGATGAGATAACAGATGATGAGGCTGAGATTGACCGTCTACAGGCTTCCAAACCCCGGCCTAAGGAAAAATGTTGGACAAAGAAGCCTCCTCCCTCAGGATGCCTCAGCTGTGGCAAACAGCACCCGAGGGTGACCTGCTGTTTCCGGTCTGCTACCTGTCGCTGTTGTGGGAGACTGGGCCACATTGCTCATGCATGCCGATCCCTGCCAAAACCTGCTGCTGTGCCGAGACCTCGCCGTTCTGCTAAAGAGGAGTGCTTCTCAATTTCACGCAACTGCCGCATCTCTGAGGTGACTGCCCTTTCCAGATCACCCTCCAACAACAAACTCTCCATGACTGTGAACATTGAAGGCGCCTCCTGCCAGATGGAGGTGGACACAGGTTTGGCAAAGTCGATTGTGTCATGGGGGGTGGTAAAGAGGCTATTACCAACCATATGGAAGAGTCGGTTAAAACCCTGCCTGCTCAAATTGAGGGACTACCAAAGGAATTTCATTCCAATATTGGGACATGGTTCCTTTTTAGTTGAAACCAAGGGGTTCGTGGGACTTCTTCCGTTGATCATGGTCAAGGGTTTCCTTCCCAGCCTACTGGGAATGGATTGGTTTTGGTCGTTGGGATTGCAAATTACAGGGATTCACTCCACGTGTGTGGACACTTTGGGGGGTCTTTTCAATGAGTTCGCTGACATTTTTGATGGGGGTTTGGGTCAGTATGTGGGTTCTCCCATCTCCCTGAATGTGGACCCCCGGGTTGCCCCGATTAGACTAAAGGCACACCGAGTTCCTTTGCTCTCAGGCCAAAAGTGGACGCAGAACTTGATAAACTCTTATCCCAAGGTGTTTTAGAACCCACGGATCACTCCAAATGGGAAATCCCCATTGTGATCCCTATCAAACCTGATGGGTCTATTAGGATTTGTGGTGACTTTAAATGTACCCTAAATAAGGCATTGATGACCAATCCTTACCCTGTCCCAGTAGTTCAACACCTGCTCCATTCCCTAGGCCCAGGTTCCATATTCGCCAAATTAGATTTGGCCCAAGCATACCAGCAGCTCCCGGTGGATGATGCCTTGGCTGAGGCTCAAACCATCGTAACCCACCGAGGATCTTTTAAGTGTCAGCGCCTGCAGTTTGGTGTCAATGTTGCCCTGGGCCTTTTCCAGAACTTAATGGAGCAGTTATTGCAGGGCCTACCAGAAGTAGTCCCTTACTTCGATGATGTGCTCGTCTCCACTTCTTGTCGGAGCGAGCTCATTGAGCGAGTAAGGGCTGTTCTCCTCCGTTTCCAGGAATCGGGCTTAAAATTGAACAAAAACAAATGCAAAATTGGTGTTCCTGAGATAGAATTCCTAGGCTATTTGGTGGATGGTAAGGGGATCTGTCCCACCCCCACTAAGGTCGCTGCCATCAAGCATGCACTTGTGCCCACCTGCTGAGCTGAGTTGCAGTCTTTCTTGGGGCTTTTAAATTTTTATAATGTGTTCTTGCCCCATAAAGCCACCGTGGCCGAACCCCTCCATCGCTTGCTGTCTAAGATGGCCCCATGGGTATGGACTTCATCTAATTATATTTAAAACTGTGACAAGTTAATAGCTTATCATGGCTTACAGTAATAGTGGAAATCATATGTCAGTCATTTGTGGTTGTTAATATTAGTAGGAAGCATATTAGGAAGCAGAGTCCACTGAAAAACTAGAACTATATTTTAACACTGGAGGTGTTCACAAAGAAGAGACTGGACAGCCATTGTCTGAAATAGCATAAGGACTCCTGCTCGAGCAGGGGGTTGGATTAGATGACCTCCAAGGTCCCTTCCAACTCTATTATTCTGTTATATTCAGATATAATGGTAAAAAGGAAGTCTGAATAGACAGCAATAACAGATGAAACAGCATTCTGTCATTCAGAAACTCATTGCTGCTAATATTCTGGAATCTATCCCATTAAATGCCCTGCTTCATAGCAAGATAATGACATTCATTTTCAAATTAGCCAGAACTGCTCTTTCTGCCATGTGAATTTTCAGATTATGCAGTTTCTGATGTTTGTCAGATTGAGAATTTCTTGAACTTGATGAGCTCCATCTAACTGATAGGGATCCAACAGCTTTCACTGTTCATAGAAAAACAGAATATTTGCTTCCCTCTTGATTGTTTCTATAATAGGCACGACATATTTCTGACAAACAGAGAAAGCAGCTCAACACAGGCAGAACTGTCACACTGCTTCATGCCAATATCTATTAAAGACCAGGCAGTCAAGGAGATCATCTCCTGTTAGACTGAATATTCTTCAGCTATTAGACAGTGCCAAGGAGTGGGCATCATTTTTGGAAAAGAGGTATGTGCCTGATTACTATTTATTGGATTATCTGGTTATAGTAGGGTTATCAAAAATCTGGATTTTTTTTTGTCTTCATGTCCACCATCCAAGAGATATAGCCTTAAATCTAATATTGTTTGGCTTTTTGAGTGTCTTGCGGGTAGTGGAAGGGAACTATTTTCCCAGTAGTAGTCATTTTGTGTACACTTTTGTGTATTGTGGCTTTGTAAATTGACTACAGGTAGTCCTCGACTTATGACCACAGTTGAGCCCAACATTTATGTTGCTAAGTGAAAAATTTGTTAAGTGAGTTTTGTCCCATTTTATGACTTTTCTTGCTACTGTTGTTAAGTGAATCACTGCACTGGTTAAGTTAGTAACATGGTTGTTAAGTGAATGTTATTTCCCCATTGACCTTACTTGTTAAAAGATCGTAAAAAAGGATCAGAGGGACGCAGTGGCTCAGTGGCTAAGATGCTGAGCTTTTCAATCAAAAAGTCAGCAATTCAGGAGTTTGAATCCTTACTACCACATAACGGGATGAGTTCCTGTTACTTGTCCCAGTTTCTGCCAACCTAGCAGTTCAAAAGCACATAAAAATGCAAGTAGAAAAATAGGGATCACCTTTAATGGGAAGGTGGTCCCTAGATTTACAATATTTAATTAATTTCCAGATTCTAACAATTGGCTTCAATCCAGTCCCTTCAGATCTATGATCATTATAATTTGTAAATCACATGAGTCACATAAATTTCTATGATGAAATGTAAAAAGTGGGCCATTGTTGATTCTATATTACTGCTAGCATATGTTCTTGAAAACATCAATTTGTTAGAAAAAAATGTTGCACTTGAAAAAAAAAACAGTTTTTCTGAGGCTGGAAGATGCAATTTTATATATACAAGTAGTCCCCAAGTTACAACCATAACTGAGCTCAAACTTTCTGTTGCTAAGTGAAACCTTTGTTAAGTGAATTTTGTTCCATTTTACAATCTTTCTTGCCACACTTGTTAAGTGAATCACTGCAGTTGTCAAGTTAGTAGCATGGTTGTTAAGTGAATCTGACTGATTGATTTTGCTTGTCAGAAGGTTGCAAAAGGTGTTCACATGACTCTGGGGCTTTGCAACTGTCATAAATATGAATCAGTTGACAGTTGTCTGAATTTTGATCATGTGATCATGGGGATGCTGTAATATTCTTAAGTGTGAAAAATTGTGATAAGTACTACCTGTGTGTATATAGATAGATAGATAGTCCTTGATTTACAACAGTTCATTTAATGACCTTTGGAAATTACAACGGCACTGAAAAAAAATGACTTATCACCAGTTTTCACACTTAAGAACATTGCAGTATCCCCATGATCACATGATCAAAATTCAGACACTTGGCAACTGACTCATATTTATAACGGTTGCAAAGTCCCGGGTGTTGACTATTCATCAGTAAACAGAGTGAAGCTGAAAAAAGGAAGGCTTCACTCAGGTCCACCATCCAGGCAGAAAGAATAGTTTGAAATGATTGGTCAATTCATCTGGCAGCCCCTATAAAAGGGCAAGCTGCCAGACAGGCTTGGCTGGAGTTTCCTTGTACATTAAAGAGCTGAAGTCACAATAGTTCTCTACCTCTTCACTCCACCCACTATATAACACTGGTGATGAGGATGGGATACTGAAGTGAGGAAACAAAGGAACGGATCATGATCCAACCAGGCATGAAAAAAGACAGTGAACAAAGACAGGCTACCACATTGTTGAGGTCCGCCAACAGCCTGCGGAGCTGGCAGCTGAGTCAGACAGTGATGAGGCTGAGGAAGAACATGGGCCAGTCCTGGAGGCTGGGGAAGGCCCAGATGAGGACTCTGCATCGGAGGCAGAGATGGGGCCAGGGCCATCGGGGAGTGATGTGTGGACTTTGGAGCCTCCAGAGGCTGACAGTAGAAAGGCAGAGGAACAGGAGGAGCCTGTTCCTAGTGCACATATAAGAAGAGCTGCCAGAAGGCAGGAGCAGATAAAGCAGAGAGGACGACTTGCGAGTAGGGACAAGAGATGATTGGCCCTTCCCATAAGGTTTAAAAGAGGCTCTTGGCCTCTTTGCCAGAAAACAATGTTGAGAGAATTGCTTCTTGTTTCACTATATTCATTTCTTGTTGGCGTCTTCTGCTTCTGAACTTTTGCCAAGAAAAGCCTTTGGCAAGGTCGGTAATAAACTGAGGAATGGTGTTTTGAAGAATTTGCTTTAATTTAGTTTGGATTACGCTGAGAATAAGTTAATTCTCAGATGTTCTAATAAAGTCTGTTTGTTTTTGAACTGTTTGTATTTAATACTAACTACTTGGGCCTGGGTCACAACACGCATCAACAGAATCTCACTGACCATCAACACAGCCTAAATTGCATCAGTCCTCTCGAGATGACTACGCACGCACCATCTGAACACTTCAATCCAGCCACAGAAAACTGGGACTCTTACATGACCTGATTTGAGTGTTTCCTAGAGGCTAATGACCTCTTGGGACTTTTGGACAACAGAAAGCAAGCACTATTTCTGAGCTACTGCTGGTCAAAGGTATTCGAGGTAGCCAAGACACGCGTGGCACCCGCAGTCTTGCAGACCATACCATGGACAACGCTATAGTACTCTCCGGACACACTACATGCCCATGCCATCCAAGATCATCAGGAGGCACGAATTCCATTGCCGGAACCAGGAGGAAGGCGAATCAATGAATGAATATGTTGTGGCATTGCAAATGGCTGCCTTATACTGTGAGTTCCAAGTACATGACAAAATGCTCCTGGACCAAATAATTTATGGGGTAAAAGACCTATATCTCCAAAGACAGCTACTAGCCAAACCCAACCTCACTCTGCAGATGGCACTAGACGAAGCCAGAGCTACAGAAAACTCAATCAAATCTATGGCAGCCATTCAAAAATCTGCCAACCCAACAGTTTCATGCCAAAATACTTCAGTCCATCAGGGCAGTTCTGAGCAGGAGGAACCAGTGGATGAAGAAAACAAAATTTGCCACCTCTGAATGGTAAGAAGAGGAATTTCAGAGGTAACAATGGCGGGTGCAAGGGATGCGGCAGAAACCACCTGAGGTCACCCTGCCAATTCAAAGATGCCATTTGCCGGAACTGTGATAGGAAGTGGCATTTGGCAAGAGTCTGTCATGCCAGGCAAACTGCCAGTTATCACACAAACCATTACCACGCAAACCAGCCGATCTACCCGACAGACCCCAAAAGAGTGCAACCATGGAAGCCATGGCGAAGCGAGGGATGATACACAGAACCCAAAAATACATATCAGACAACTATTGGGCAAGCAAACTCACCGCTAGTGAAGAAAAACTATGTCACAGTCCTCATCGAGGATTCACCATGCAACATGGAAATAGATATGGGATCCTTGATGTCAATCGTGTCCTGGGCAACCATTCAACAATTAGTGCCAGGAATCACCAAGAAACAACTGAGGCATCAGAGGACTCAATTGAAGGACTATCAGGGGAACCAAATTCCCATCATAGGATGCAGAACATTCCAAGTAGCCTTCAAAGAATTTGTAGGACTACTGGAACTGACAGTATTTATTTATTAGTCATATTTCTATGCTGCCCACTCTCCAAGGGCTCTGGATGGCTTACACCAAAGACAGTATACTAAATAGCATATTGCCCCCAACAATCTGGGTCCTCATTTTACCCACCTTGGAAGGATGGAAGGCTGAGTCAACCTTGAGCCGGTGAGATTTGATCCGCTGATCTGCTGAACTAGCAGTCAGCTGAAGTAGCTGCAGTACTGCGCTCTAATCACTGCACTACCTCGGCTCTGTATCAAGTCAGTAGTAAGTGATGCACTGCCAAGACTGCTTGGACTTGACTGGTTCACATCCCTGGGCCTGGGGGTGACTGGCATCCACGCTGTCTGAGATGACAGCATTGAGGAGCTGATCAAGGAATTCGCGGATGTGTTCAATGACAGCTTAGGCAAGTATAATAGAACCTATCACTTTCAACCTCGACCCCCAGATCGCTCCAATAAGAATGAAGCCACACAGGATCCCATTTGCCTTATGCCCAAAAATTGATAACCAATTGGATAAGCTAATCGCCCAAGGAGTTTTAGAGCCGGTTGACCATGCGAAGTGGGAACACCCACAGTCACATCGGTCAAGCCAGACTGTTCAGTCTGCATCTGCGCAGACTACAAATGCATGATCAACAAGGCATTACAGTAGAATGCCTATCTGGTGCCTGTCATGCAGCATTTTTTACATTCCCTTGGAAAGGGAAAGACATTTGCAAAATTAGATTTGGCACAAGCGTATCAACAGCTACTAGTGGATGATGTCATCACAGAAGCCCAAACAATAGTTACCAACCAGGGAGCCTTTAAATGCCACAGACTTTAATTCAGCATAAGTGTGGCACCGGGATTATTCCAAAGCCTCATGATACACCTTTTACAGGGCATTGCAGGAATAATACCCTATTTTGATGATGTCTTAATTTCTGCCAATGACAACAAGGAACTTTTTGACTGCCTAAGGATAGTCCTTAGCAGATTCCAGGAGGTGGGTCTTAAGGTGAAAAGGGAAAAGTGTAAAATAGCTATGCCCCAAGTAGAATTCTTAGGCTACCTGATAGATGGCTCAGGACTACACCCCACAAATGACAAGTTCAGAGCAACACAAGAAGCCCCCACCCCCAGGAATCAAATGGAATTACAGGCATTCCTGGGACTATTAATCTTTTACAGCATTTTTCTACTGCAGAAGGCAATGGTGGCCAAACCACTGCACCGACTTCTGGATAGAAAAGCTACATGGACCTGGGGTCGAAAGGAAACAACCGCATTCACTGCGGTTAAAAATTTTTTATCATCCGAAAGTGTTTTAGTACAATTTTGTGAGACTCTCCCAGTCATCCTTACTTGTGATGCTTCTCTGTTTGGCGTCAGGGCTGTCCTTAGCCACCGAATGCCAAACAGTATCGAGGCGC